CAGTTAAAACCACACAAAAATTGTTTGTTGATTTTATTAAAAATCAAAGTTGTTTCCAGAGGAATTGTTTCTAAACGTCGTGGTTTACAAGAAAACAATTGAAAAAAAAAACTCGCACAATTGAGAGCGTAAAGACTTGAGATCGCTCGAATCTTGTAATTATTGCATTGCATCTGTATAGCATATAAAGCTTTTCGACGATATTTTCATGTTTAGTTTTATCATTGAGAGACATTTGGTTGTATCAACAAGTAAACGACCTTGTGTTATAGTTCTACATCAGTCAATCTAGATAGAGAATATAAAGAATGCATTTGTTTGTTTGTAAAGCTATTTGTATAAAAATAATAAAGAACATTTACAAGTGGTTGGGCCTAATTTGGGCTCACGACCATTATTGTTTGAAATAGAAAGAAAATTCAAATTACATGAAAACATGATTAACTCATTGTCGTACCAAAATGATACCAATATTATTATCTTTTAAATCTCATAAATGTAAAAAGGTTTAATGGGACGAAGTTGCTGGAAAAGCTAAGAAATAAGAGGATGGTGTACGTAGGAGACTCCTTGAATAGAGGCCAATGGGTATCAATGGTTTGTATGGTTAGTTCTGTCATTACAAACCCAAAATTGATGTATATGCACAACAATGGCTCTAACCTCATCACCTTCAAATCTCTCGTAAGTCCTCCAAAAACTTTATTCACACTCAATTAATTACTAGATTGTAAGTAGGCGGTTTAAATAATAGAGAATGATGACCGTCTTTTAGAACATGCAAGCAAATAGATTCACAAATAAAACCTTTTTTCACGATTAGGTTTTAAATGAACATTATTAATATACTTTAACATCTAAAATCACAAGTTTTTGAGACATTTTTTTATCACAATAATCAGGAATACAACGCAACAATAGAATTCTATTGGGCTCCCTTGCTAGTAGAATCCAATTCGGACGACCCAACAAACCACAAGTTTCCCGAACGTATAGTTCGAATCCAATCGATAGAGAAACATGCGAGGCATTGGACGGAATCCGATATCATCGTCTTAAACTCTTATTTATGGTGGAGAAGGCCTCATATCAAGACATTGTAAGATTCTTTACTTAATTATAGTTAAAACTCAATTATTCAC